CTGCCGCAGCACCCCAGCCACCCCGGGGGGAAAAGCCCAGTCAGGTATTTCGTGGCTTCTTACCTTTCCAAAGCCAAAGGGATGGGCAGCTGAGCTGGCCTGACTTACCCTCCTGGTCGGGTCCCTTCGGGGAGAAGTAGCAGCAGAGGCGGTCCAAGGCAGTGCTGTCCCCAGAGCCAGGGATCAGCACCTCCTCATCCAGGATCCCCAGCAGCCCCTTGCGATCGGCCCCTGGGCTGCCCGGCAGCACCTGCAGCTGCCAGAGGGGGACAGCCCTTGGTGACGGGGCAGGACATCAGCCTGCCTTCACCCTACTCCACATCACCTCTGCTCAGCCACGTTCCCTGCCCCAGACCAGAGTCAGGAGACCCTTCTGAACTGATCCAGCTCTGGACATCACCCGTGAGATCCCCACCCCGAGGTCCCATTCTGCCTCTGACACCCTGGGTCCTCTGAGCACCTGGATGCTTGAAGCATGGCCAGAGGCACTGAGCCCCACGGTGAGCGTGGGGACAGGCTACCTGTGAGGAGTTCAGGTCGATGACAGACAGCAGGGCCAGTGGGGAGCGCTCTGGAAGATCAAAAGACACCTCAACATTTTCCTGGAAAACATTATTTAAAAGCTCACTTCAGTCACGGTCTGAAAGCCAAGAGGAGATCTGGCTGCAGAGAGCAGGGGGATGGTGCAGGCTGTGCTCCCACTGGGCTTTGAGGGGATCCAGTGCCAGTGAAGTGGAGCAGCCACGGGAGACACTTGGGCCATGACACAACCACGGCCACATCTGCCCCAAGGACAGGGCTGTCAGGACCAGCACGTCCTGCAGGCTTCTGAAGGGCTTTGTGGATGTCAGACAAGGCACATAAATCATGGATATGACACTAACTGAAGACTTCATGAGAAAGCTCTAAGAAAATAATCAATTATTTAAATGGCAGCTTGCAGGCGTGGTTTCCCTTTCTGAACCAAGGGCTTCAGGCTGTGAGCCCCCAGCTGCAGGGCTTACCCCCTGTGCCAGGCCTTGGAGCAGAGGGGCAGGGTAAGCACAGCTTGTTCCTGCTCACAGCTGAACCAGAGATCTTCAGTAAGAGACAAGAGTTTAGTGTCTCTCCATGGTAACATGGTGAGACTCTGCCCAGGGATTCAGGATGCAGGCAGAGCAGAAAGCAGCAAAAACAGTTTCTTTCTATCAAGGGCACTTGCCACCATCACCCCCCTGTGTGACCCTGCTCTGGCAGCAGACAGGTCCCTGGGGCACGGGCTAGCAGATAAGTGTCTTGCACCAGGGCAGTCGTCCTCAGGCAGAGACAAAGCCAAGGCATGGCCAGCCTGCCCAGCCCAACATCATGGCAAGCTCAGCCAGTAGCTACAAACCCATCCCTAGCAAAGAGCACAGACAGACCTGGTGCAAATAATGGGTGATTATTAAGCCATGGGAATTCAACTCTTTTCCCAGGGCTAGAGGTATAAAGGAACTTCTGCAAACCTAATCAACTAATCTCTGCTTGTAGATTTATCAGCAGTTTATTTCTGATACAATTTATCATCTTCCTTTCTAATCTCTATTGTTCATCACCTGAAGAAGAACTCAGCTGCAACGACAGAAGGATGTGAAGCCTCCTGAGCTGGACCAAGCCTGCCTGAATCGACTGCCAGCCAGCCTGGCATCTCCAGCACACCAGAAATACCCCAGAGGACCCATGGCTGGGGCAGTGAAGGAATGAGAGGCTGGGCTTAAAGCCCCTGCTCTGTACAGACCCCTCCTTTCTGCAGCAGCCTCTCCCACTAAAGCCACTTCAGTGTGTTGTTCAGTCACACCGTGGCAGGGACCTGCTGGGACAAAGGCAGCCCTGTCTGCAGGTGCTGGGGTGCTGCTGCAAGCCCCACCTCTCACCTCTCTGTATCTCTCCAGCTCCAAAACGAAGGTTTTCTCATAGAAAAGGGCCTGCAGCCTCTCCTGCACGTAGTTGTGGCAGAGCTCTTCAAAGGTCCCTGCGCGCCCGCCCTGCTGGTGCCGCGGGTTGTGGAAGCCAGGAGTGTCCACCACGGAGATGGAGCCCACGGAGTGGTGCTGGGAGGAGAATGACCTGGGGAAAGAGACACACACACATCACCGGGTTTTACCCACAGGCACAGCTGAGCTCTGCCCTTGGAGGTGACCCTGCCTCCTCCTGGGTGAGCACCATCTCTCCCTCTGTCTGAGTCTCCGGTCAGGGAGCACCTGGAACCTCCTGGCTTGTTTGCTCCTCCCTTATCCTTCACCCACCTCTTCTTTGAGCTACCCAAGCCAGCATTTCCTCCCAGCCTGGATGGAGACACATGGCATGGGCTGCTCCTGGCCTGGCCTCTTCACAGGGCAGGGAGGAGATGCTCCCCACCCCACACTTGGCCCCATCCTGGGACTCCAATGGCTTAAAGTTCTTCATCCAATTGTGTGAAGTTCGGTGGAAAAGGTGACTGGAAAAGCAGCTAAACTGGCACGTGACACCAACACCAAGGACAACGTGTCCAAAGCCCCGTGCTGGGCTGCTTGTGGCATTTCTACAGGAGAACCTGCTGGTGTTCACCTCCTGAGGAAACGTCCCTCATAACCTGGATCAGTGTTGAAGTGATTTAATGGGCTTTGATGGGCTGGGGTGGAAAATAAAAATGAGCAAAGCAGCTGCCTTTAAAGGGAAGAGGGGACACATCCCAAGGTAACACTGTTATTCAGGGGAATCAGCAACATTTTGCTCTTCTGTCAGCCCTTAGAGCAACATCAGCTATTTCCCTCTGGGATGTGGTTGCTGAGAATTACAATAAAAATATTCAACTGCAGGTTAAAATAAACCTGCTGTGACAACACAGGGTATTTTTGGGCACCAGCTTCTATGTGAATGCTGACTTCAACAAACTGAGTTGTGCATCAGAACTGAGAAAACAGAACAGTTATGGGGACTGGGCCCTACCCCAGTATTAAATTATTCTGTTTGCCCAAATAGATCATCTTGAATTCACACCACCTAAAAAAAGAGGTCACAGAGGGTGCTCTTCCCATCCCAGCTCTCCAGGTGTAAATAAGCAGAGTGAGGACAAGCCCCCAGGGCAGCCCCACACAAGAAGGACCTGGATGTGCTGGAGCAAATCCAGAGCCCACAGTGATGACCAGAGGGTGGAGCAGCTCTGCTTTGGAGACAGGCTGGGAGAGTTGGGGTTCTTCAGCCTGGAGAACAGAAGGCTCCAGGGACACCTTAGAGCACCTTCCAGTGCCTGAAGGGATTCAAGGAAAGCTGAGGAGGGACTTGGGACAAGGGCAGGGAGTGATGGGATGAGGGGTAATGACCTTAAACTGGAAGAGGAGAGATTTAGATTAGTCATTAGAAAGAAATTCCTCCCTATGAGGGTGGTGAGACACTGGTCCAGGTAGCCCAGAGAAGCTGTAGCTGCCCCATCCCTGGAAGTGTTCCAGGCCAAGCTGGATGGGGTTGGTGCCTGCTGCCATGGGGCTGGCTGCCCACAGCAGGTCCTGGGTACCAGCACATTCTCTTAGATGGAGATTTTCAGGTAACTCTTTTTTTTTCAGCAGGCAGCAGTTCCTGCCCCATGGCTTTCTCTGGGACCCCCCAGCAAAGGTTCCTCTTCACACCCAAAAGGAGCCGTCACCTGCAGCCCCCCCAGCACAGCACCCAGCAGCTCCTACCTGTTGATCAGGGAGACAATAATGGCAAAGAGCTCTTCGTAGAGACCTGCAGCCATCCCCTCCACACACTCCACACCCGTCATTTTTGGCCCTGGCACAGAAAATGAAGAGCAAAGACCCAGCATTTGTTCCCAGCCGAGTTCAGCCTACGTGGAGCTGAGCTAGTAACAGGGAATTCCCTTGCTCCTTGGGTGGAATGACCTGCCTGGGGCAGGATGCCCACCCTGCTGCCCTCCTCCTCTGGGGCTTTCCTGCCTCTTTTCCAGGTAAAGATCTCATAGCATTTAAGCCCCATCAGTTAACTCCCAGGGGCACGATCTGAATTCACCTCATCTTCAGGTGTCCCTAAGGAGTGACAGGCAGGGTCAGCTGTAGAGCTGAGGGCAACTGTGTGACAGAGCACAGTTAATAATTTAATTAATATGAACATACTGAAATGGACCTTGCTGCCTGAGAAGAGCAGTGCAGAGCACAGCATTTCCCTGTCACCCATGAAGAGAAGGAAAAGGGATGCAGCATCCTGGTACCTGCTGGGATCTCCTCTGCCGGGGGGGCCTGGCTGCCCCGTGCTGTCACCTGTGCCAGGATCTGCTTCAGGTGGTGTTTGAAGACAGCAGTGGTGAGCTCCTCCAGGTCACAGCCCAGCACCTCTGCAGCTCGGCTCGCACTGTCAAACTTCATGAACTGCTTCCTGCCCACTGGGGAGGGAACATGGGGGCCCGGGGGGGTCACCAAGGGCCGCCTGGAAGGAGCCAGGTGCAGGCCCAGCCCCTCCAGCACATCCCTGCCCACCCCCACCTGCAACCCCCAAAATCAAAATCAAATCAACCAAGAAGGGACTGCTGTTTGCAGCAGGGGATGGGGGTCAGACAGAAGATCTCTGCAGGCTGCTGAGGAGTGCAGGGGCTGTGGGGCCTGAGCTGCAGGGAGCCCACCTGGAGCCTGCAGCCTGCTCCAGCATCCCGGGCTGCCTGCTCCCGCATCCCACACCAGCTGCTCCCGCATCCCACACCAGCTGCTCCCGCATCCCACACCAGCTGCTCCCGCATCCCACACCAGCTGCTCCCGCATCCCACACCAGCTGCTCCCGCATCCCACACCAGCTGCTCCCGCATCCCACACCAGCTGCTCCCGCATCCCACACCAGCTGCTCCCGCATCCCACACCAGCTGCTCCAGCACCACCCCCAAGCCCTGGGAGCCCCCAGGCTCCATTTCATGCTGCAGAAGACACCACCAGTGCCCTGCAGCCCCCCCGGGTGTAACGTGACCCTTGTAAAACACAGCGGCTTTAACACCTACAAGGTGATTAATCTGGCCCATCTAATATTTAAGAGAAGCAGTAGGAAAACACAGGGTCAGCAGCAGGCTGGTCTTACTGGTGTGCCCACGCAGCAGCTTGGGTTCTATTTTTAATTTCAATTGGGAAACACAGGGAGCAGCAGGGAAGGCAGGAGGGGCTGGACCTGGGCTCGCTGCTGGCACAGGGCAGGTCAACATCACCCCACTTCCCTACCCTCCTCAAATCCCCTGGCTGCATGGGGAACACCTTGCCAGCCTGTCCCTTTTCTTCCACTTACTTTGTCATCCAAATGTTCGCACTGCTAATAAGACAAATAAAATAGCCCATTTGTTCCTCTATATTACCCTGGATGGGGATGGGGAGAGAGAGGAGGCTCCTCCTGGCTTGAATGGTTAATTTATTTGTCCTGCAGTAAATTCTCCAGTCAATTCTCTATCGACCCATGGCCTGATGTATGACATATTAAAGCCTACATATAACAAAGGGAAGAGCTGTGTAATAGCATGATTAAAGAAATCTGCCATTCTGGCTGCATTTCCCTGGCTGTTTGTAATGAAGATGTCAGAGCACTGAACAGGCAGTGCCATAATGGGATGTGAGGGGACATCCTCCCCAGACCAGGAGCCGTGGTGGGGATCATAAAAACCTTCATGAAGGAGAAGGCAATGTCAGCAGGAGCCCCCAGCTGCCAGCCCCCCAGAGAGCCAGCAGCAACAGCCAGGGCTCCAGCTATTCCCAGTGTGCCACCTCTGGGCACCAGCCCCAGGGCAGCTGGTCTGCTAAGGAAAAGCAAAGCTAGAGCAGGGGCAGAGACCCCCTGTGCTGGGTCCTGCTCTCTCCTCTTCACCTCCAACACCAGCATGGCCATCACAGCCAGTGCCAGGGAACACAGGAGTGCCTCCTGGCACCACAAACACAAGCAACAATTCCTGAGCTTTCCTTGCAAATCTGTGTCCTCTGCACTTACAGGGATCCCGGGGAAGGGAAGAGCTGCAGCAACTCCCCCCACCAGATACATCTCAGAGCAAACTGCCAAGCAAGAATCCGAGAGCATCACAAAGTGGAGTTGCTGGGAAAGGAAGGATGGGGACCCAGCCCCGGGTGTTTTTTGCATTTTCCTGCCCTCCTCTCCCTACAGCAGCCCCAGGCCTGGGCTGTGCCTGCAGCAGCTCCATCCCCTCCATCATGCTAGAGCCACCAGCACATCTCTCCCTCTGTGACAGGGGCCACGCCAGGGATGGATATATTTGTCACAGAAGGGGAAGCCTGGCATGGTGCTAATTATGGATCTGCTGCTCCCTCCTCCTTCAGCAACAGGCAGCAAGAAAAAAAGGAGGGTAAATCTGAGCTTGGGTGGAACTAAGAACAAAGTGTCATTTCCATATCAATTAAAGAAAGGTCACTCCATCTCAGAGGCTGTAAAACAGCAGCAATAATGCAGGTTTAAGGCTTTTTTCTTCACTCTGGTGGGAAAGCAATAAGTCACCCAGGTCTATTCCTGATTGACATCTATGCTCAGGGAGCTGCATAATTAATGCCAGTGGGATCCTGCCAGTTCTTCTCCCTCCTGTGTTTTGATGGACATCCCCATTACTTTAGTTGGCTAAATGGCTTCTGGAAAGTTTCCATTTCACAGAGCTAAAAGGGTGTTCAAGGTGGCTCCATCTCTGCTGCTCCTGCCAGCCCCAGCAGCCTGCAGAGCCTGGAGCAGCCCAGCAGGACACCACAGGGGTGCAGGGGACTCAGGCCCTCCTGCCTCAGCCCAGCACAGCCCAGGCCCATCTCACAACCTGCCCCATGCCTCAGTTTCCCAGGTCTGAAAGGGGGCTCCTCCTGCCTGCCAAGGGAGTGATGCTGCAGCAGTGGGGCAGTGCAGGAGCCAGCCTGGGCCATGGCAGCAGCTCAAACACTGACCCCACGCTACTACTTGCTGGAGGGGTCCCATAGCAGACCCCAAAATTCCCAAATGGCTGCCTGGGCACTCCCATCCCCCTTCAGCCAGAGCTGCTGCTCCAGGGAACCAGCCCCATCCGCGCAGGGGGTGACAGATGCAGGATTCTGCCCTGGGCACCAACCCCTGCCGGGTGTGGGGGGCTCAGAGCCTCCCCCCGAGCAGCATAGGGGAAACCCCTACGGTTTTCCTGCATCCGAGGAGTTCAGTGCCCTGCCTTGGCAGCAGCTGGGGGTGCGGGGGGTCCCTGCTCGCCCCCCCCTCCCAGCACGTCCCGCCCGCGGCTCCCGCCGGACTTGGGCGATTTTCAGCCGCGCTCAGAAACCCGGGCACCCCCTGCCAGGGGGGTGGGGGGGAGCCTGGGGGGGCAGGGAGCCCCTGGGCAGCCGGTTTCATAGAATCATAGAGTCTTAGGGGCTGGAAGGGACCTCGAAAGATCATCTAGTCCAACCCCCCTGCCAGAGCAGGGTCACCCAGAGCACATCACATAGGAACACATCCAGGAGGGTTTGAATGTCTCCAGAGAAGGAGACTCCACAGCCTCTCTGGGCAGCCTGGCCCAGGGCTCTGTCACTCTCACAGGAAAAACATTTCTTCGGATATTCACCTTGAACCTCCTATGCTCCAATTTACACCCATTACCCCTTGTCCTGTCACTGGTCATCACTGAGAAAAGCCTAACTCCATCTCCCAGACACTCACCCCTTACATATTTGTAAACATTGATGAGGTCACCCCTCAGTCTCCTTTTCTCCAAGCCCAACAGACCCAGCTCCCTCAGCCTCTCCTCAGCAGGGAGATGTTCCACCAGCAAAAGGGGCAGCTTGAGACAGAGCGGGATGTGTCCCCCGGAGCCTCCTGCCCGCTCCTGGGATACCTGGGAACACGGGGGGTTCTGCAGCCCCCCCGGGGGGCTGGGGCACTTCGGGGAACGGGTACCTGGGATGCCCCGGGGGCCTCTGGCTGCTCAGCTGCTTCCTGACAAAAAGAGCCCTTTTCAAAGGCACCCGGAGCGCCGAGCCCGGCGCGGGGGGCCCTGCGGGATTCCCTGCCTGATTGCAGGGGTATTTCCCGCTCCCAGCCGGACAGGGGTGGTGTCACCGCCTCCTGGTTTGTCCCCGGACAAACTGAATTGGTGACGAGATGATGGGCATCAGCAGAAGGGGGGAAAAAGGTGGATGTACCCTCGCGGGGGTCCCGCACGTGCCGGGGGGGCAGCAGGGCCTGGGGGTGCCCCGAGGGGCAGCCGGACACGCGGGGCTCCCCACGGAGAGGTTGCAAGGAGAGGATGTGGAATGTGCAGCTTCAAAGTGCATGAGAGGGGAAGGGAAGGGCTGGCGGTCACGAGGCAGGTTTAACCACATTAAAAGAGTCATCGCCCCCACTGAGGCTTTGGCTCCATCCGGCTTTGATCCATTTTTTATCCATATTTCCTTTCATTTCTCCCCTTTTGTTGACGCGCGGCGGGGGAATCAATACCAGAGCCAGGGATGCTGAGACATGTTCTGCTTGTTAATCCCACAGCCGAGCCTGCTCCGAGGCCCCGAGCCCTGCCTGAGCCACCATTAACACTCCATTCACACCCCAATCCTTGCAGCAGCTCTGCTGAGTATCGCTGGGCACTGCCGGGCAGGATGCTCGGGGCAGAGAGCTCAGCAACTGGGAGCAAACCAGCTCAGCTGCCCCAGCAAACCAGCTCAGCTGCCCCAGCAAACCAGCTCAGCTGCCCTGGGCAGCACAGCCACCCTTCCTTCATCTGCCTCTGAGCTCCTTCTCTTACAACAAGACACATCTCCAAAACCTGCTCTCCTGAACACTCTCAAGGGTTTCTTTTGGTGTTTTTTTTCCAGGAGCCTTTTCCCACACTTCAGCCTGAGACAGAAGGGTTGTTTTTAGCAAAGCTGGAAGGGCACTAGGGGAGATGGAGATGGGGAAAGAGAACACCAGGGAGAGGGAGAAAGAGAAGTCTGTAAGCAGTGACAGCACTAATCCTTTTTAAATAATTAATAAATGATTAATGGCATAAATTACCATAGGATGTGTTATGACACGTTGCAGAGACATTTATAAATGTCTGTGAGTTAGTTTATAGCAGCCTTTATGCAGCCCTCATAAATTGACATGTGTAAATCAACGTGGCTGCCTCAAACAGGGGCTAGAGCACATCTCACTATAATTGATAAGGGATAAGGCAATTTCTAGATGCCTGCATTAACAGTCTTGTATTTATAACAAAGATTGTATTTATTAAAATACAACCCTCATCTAAACTCAGCCTATTACAACTCAGTAGCTGTACCAGGCACTCAAGAGATGACAAACTTATTCCCACCCGAAGCTGTCCCTTCACAGGGGCATTGGGTGCAACATCCCAGCAGATGAGTTGCCTGTCACAGCCCTGCCCATGGAGCTGGCACAGGGTGATGTCCTGCAGCCCCTGTCCCCTCTGCACGTGATTGGAGGCCAGACTCTCTCCAGCAGCACCAAGGGGCAGGAA